CAGCAAAATAGTAAACTGATTTAATTATTGTGTCGATAATATGAATTATTGTTACGTTTTTATTGGTTCAAATTTTTGCTGATGTGTTAGCTTCTTATAATATAAAAAAAGCATATGTGTTATCTCATGGAGAGACACTGATATTTTTATAGTATTCTAAAACATAAAAATTGCATTGCCCATCAAAACCTAGAATTTGCATTTCATGTCAAAAACCGAAATATTTTGTTATTCCGTCATAACCCATAATTTTGTTTCCCGTCAAAACAGCAGACCGAAATTTTTTATTTCCACGCCAAAACAGGAAAATATCATTTTCCCGTCAAAACCGAGAATTTTCATTTTCTCAAAAAAAATATTTTCCTATACAAACCATGAAATTTTAAACCAGCAAAATAGTAAACTGATTTTATTATTGTGTTGATGATATGTATTATTGTTATGTTTTTATTGGTTCAAATTTTTGCTGATGTGTGAACTTTTTATAAGATAAGGCTTTTTGCATTGTTGTCATGGAAGCATAGTTGATATTGAGCCTACATTTTTTTCAATCATATACGCCTATGTCAAACAAACAGATAGATAGAATTTATTTATTTATTATTTATTTATTTATTTATTTATTAATTTGGGTTTGGATTTGGCAAAAAATAAAACAAAGATTTAATTTTTTATTTTCTGTTATTTATTATTTGGATTTAGGTTTGACAAAAAATAAAATAATTTTTTATTTACTGTTATTTATTATTTGGATTTGAGTTTGGTAAAAAACAAAACAAGGATTAATAGAAAAAGTATTTGGATTTTTAATGGGTTTAAATTTAAAAGTTAAAATAAGTAGATGAGTTGTATTAATAAAATATTTTGATTATTGATTATTTTTATTGAGTTGTCATATTTATAAAACTTCAAGCTGAAGTGTCATCTTTAGAAAAGACAAAAGGATTATTGTTGTATTGATTTACCAAGATTTATTTTCATATTAAATTACATAAAAAAGGGCCAATATACATCAATCGATTCTTTTTTGTGTGGTATTGACAAAAAATTACATATTTGTTTTTATAATATTAATACCCAGAGTTTAATGTATACTAGACAAAAAGATTAACACTTTCACATGCAAATCAAATTGTAAGCTAAAGTAATCAACGTTATTTAAAATAAATAATAAAAAAATTAATTTAAAATAAGATTTAAAGTTTTGGAATGAAGCAATTTCATTGATTCTTGAATATCTTGAATCGCATAGGATAAAATGTGAGCACCTACAAAACTAAATCATATATAATGAAATAGCTTAATCCTATTATAAAAAATTGGATGTGTCAAAGTTAAAAATTTACATGATCGCGACATGTGGTGAGTCTCCCAGTTCAGATTTTAATGTGTCTCGGTAAAAAAAAATTAAAAAGATAAATATAAAAAATGGATTTTAGTTTTGAAAAGGAAATTAACATAAACCACTAATCCTAAAATAAAATAAAAAATAAAAAAAATACTGTTTAAAAAATTAGTACAAAGAAATATTTCAATTTGAAAAAAAAGAAGCTAAAACATCAATCTTAAAAAAAGAAGAAAAATACTTCTTGAGCTTCATTCTATATGTATAATTTTTTTATTGTATTATTATTATTATTAAAACACTTTATACGATATTCCAAATTTGTATCTATTATTATTGTTGGGTATTCGAAGTTTTTATCATTTATGATTTGTTTGCTAAGTATTATATTCATCTAAAGTGTTTTCAGTATTCAATAATTATAAAATTCCAAAAAAAAAGATTAATTGCAAAATTTATAATGTATAACTACAATAAAAAAAAAAATTAATCCTAGATGTTTATGATATGACATTAGACGATGATGAGCTCAATGAGGATCAATGAAAATCATATAGAGAAGTTTTTGACGTGAATCTTGAGAAACATAACATATTTAGAAAATGGAGAGATCATATATAGATGATGAATGTGAAGAGAAAGAGAAATTTTGTTTGTTTAGAGAGAGTTAATGGGAAGAGAGTTAATATATTCTTGCATACTCAATTTTTTAACACAATAAAACAAATAAAAATGATTAATAAAGTGTTGAACTACAAAAAAACGTAGGAATAATGTTGCTTAGGATCGGCAACAGATTTTGTATTTTTAAATCTTTTAATTAAAATAAATAAAAATCAAAATAAATAACTTTTAAATTTTGATTTTATGTCTTTAATATATTTTTTCACCAGTAATCCAATTTTTCTATTTTAATAAATTATTTTAATAAAACTAAAATATTGTTATTATAAATTCATGTATATGGAGTCCTAATCTAGTTTCTATATTAAAAAAAAAACATACAGAATTCACAAGACGCCGTTCCCTTGAATCTGAATTTTCAGCAGCATTGTTTTATAGAATTCATCATGTTTTAACTGTATAGAAGTGGATGATATAATGTGCGTATAATTGACTGCACCTAAAATAAGTAAGTACAATATGGAAATTAAAAGCATACAACTCTCGTTGAATTAGTTTTTTTTAGAACCACGTTGAATTAATCTTCTCAACAGTATGTATATATCCAGCACTCAATATAAAAGTATAATTTTTTTCTTTCTTTTGCTAAGGGCTTATTTACAATGTGTGTTTTCCTCCTAAAAGAACTTGATTTTTGTGTGGGCTCAACGAATCTGAGAAGTAACAGTGAAGAAGAAAGCTTCATCGCATGGTAGACTTAAACCACCGGTTGGATGATCAAAACCAAACTCTTCTTCTGCTTTCCTTAGCAAAGCTTGGAAAGATGGTTTGTTCAAGTAATAAACCGGAACAAGAAATCTCGTCTTCTTCAGATTTTCTCCAACGTACACAGCCAAGAACCCTTTTGGCGTTGCTGATGATTCAGTAGTAAAAGACCGGCGAATGATTTGCTTGGTGGCAAAAAAACTCCTCAAGAATGCCATTTCTAGTATTAGAAACAAACAAGCAAAAAGCTTTGAATTAATGGCTCAAGTTAAGATATATTGATCTTGTTTTGATGAGAGAAGGTTAGAGTTTGGTTTGTGAGAATAAGGGAAATGTAGGTCTATATATTGGTGGAGTTAGAAAGGTTTTAATAATAAAAACTATGGATATCACGAGTATATAGTGTGTGTGTGACCTACAAGGACATGGTTTTGGCAAACAGATTAGTTAAAGCATTTGGATTTTAGGAAGCTGTGGTTTAATTAGTGTTGGGGTGTTGAGAAGTAGAGTGTGTCCTACATGGCTACGTGCATGTGGCCAATGGCTATATTGGTTCCGTCGACTTAACGTATGAATGGTACACACTAAACTAAAATCAATTAATAGCGAGTAATAGAATTTGTTGTAACGCGGCAATATATACATGTTATAACATACACCACTTAACGAGTCCCCCACTTAATTTCATCTTTGTGATATTGATTTTTTTTTTTTTTGGTCAATGTGCGTTGAACCTAGATGATGACAAAGTTACATTTAGATGTCTAAGTAAATAATATGTGAATGGTGAATATTTATTGACGTAAGCATCCCAAGCTTGAACACTATTTACTAGCATTTTGTTTATTCTATGTTCTGATTCATAGCCGGTCTGATATCAAAATCTCGTAAAATCGTATAGCAATTTATATGGTTTTACGGTAATAATAATACAGAAAATATTAGCATTATCGTTATGTAAGCATGAATTGTATGCAGAAATCGAGAACTGTTCCAAATTTTTAATTTAACCACAAAAAGTTATACTACCTCTCAAAACGTGTTAAGTAACATGTAAAAGTTGTTTACCCGTCCTACAATACCCAACTGTAAACACTCATAATATCCATAACGAACTACTCAATATCCAATCCAAAATATCTTAGAATCCAAAAAATATCTCGAAATATCTACCAAAGAGACAAAAAAAAAATGATGATTTTTCCTTTTCACGAAACAGGTCGGGCAAAGGAAGTACGTACGGGTATTTTTTGTGGGCAACCATCTCATCTCGAGACTCTTTTGAGTATAGCGAAGAGGTCAAAGAAGAATTAAAGCGTTTCTTAGGGAAGTCATCTAAATTAATGATGACCCCAAAAGAGTGAAAGAAGAAGATCACATGGGAAAGAAAAAAAAAAGGTAGAGGAGTCGTGGAAGTTTGTTTAGTTAGGGAAAGTCAATTTTTGGTTCATGAGATGTTTATATTAACTAATTAAATCGACCCAACTCTCATGTCCCATCTTCACTTGTCTGCTTCTTTAATCACATCTACACTACGGAAGATGATCACTAGAACAAAAAAAAAGATGCCTTTTATTAGGTCTTTTGTCCGGTCTATTTGTTTGGAAAATGGCATTAGAAAGACTTGCTCATAAGACAATACCATGTGCCATTTTATCTACAACTCACTAAACTAACCTCTCAATGTTTGTTTTTGTAAGGTATTAACAAATTTTAAAGCTATGGCTATTTTGGTGGTTTTTTTTTGGTTAACTATTCTTTTCGGCTCCTTTTCTCTAGCCAAAAACATTATGCCATCAAGCCAAGCCAGCTCCTGAATGTCTTTAATCAAGAGAGGTACATAATAGTTGAAAAAGTAAGCAAATGTGACAAGAGAGGACTTATAAGATAACATGAAAAATGAGATTGAACTTCAAGTTATCCGCCAAAGAAATGTCGTGGGAATTCTATATATAGCTGATCGATGACCGTTTTGTTATGCATCTTGGATATAGTAATCCCTACTAAAACTCTGTCATGATGACAGCAGGGATCATGAAGATTGAAACTATCCAAGAAGACTTCTTCATGATAAAAACATTTTGATTAACTGTTTTTCTAATTTTATCTACAACTCACTAATATTTCTTTTTGGTTTAACTATGGCCAAAACTCTTTTGATATTCTGGATATCATTCTTGTTTCAAGACCAGCCAAAAGAAACCTACCTTCAATAGCTCAACCGCCATAAAACATGGCGGCCTATAAAAGGGAAGAGTGGGAAGGTCCCGAGTTAATTTATTGATCGCTTCAAATAAATGGTGGACCGTAGACCCATAACTTTTTTTTTTTTTTTTTTAAAAAGAGTCTTTGCTTTGACTTACAAAAGTCAATACAAAATGTTAGAGACAAAAAGTAAAGCTGTAATCCTTAATTCTTTGTTTAAAAACTTCCTATATCTCTCATATAAGAAACAAAAAAAAGAACATTAAGCAATTAATTAAATATCATCCCTAACAAAATCATTCACTAAACCTTTTCCCTCTCCCCCAAAAACAGAGTATACCTTTAAAACCCAATTACTCTTTTTCTTTTAATCACCTCCCCCTCAAGAAAAGCTCTCTTTGTTGCCAGTGTTGCCTCGTTCTAGGCCGTCAGATGATCTATCTTCCATCTGAGCCGTTGGATCATAAAAGAGCTAGAGATTAGAATTGGAACTGCGAGTGGAACCTGAGTTGATGAAGACAGGAGTGTCTCTAGGCGTGTGTGACGTGGCGCCACGTGAGCTACCACTGTTTCCCATGTCTTTTGTCTTGTGGAGAAGAAAGGTTCCTGATAAAATGGTCACAAAGCCACATAGCTCCGTCGCAATTTGCAAACCACTCTGAGAAGCCCAGTCCTGAACCATAACACAAATGATGATGATGATGATGATGTTCTTATATTATACAAAATAGTAATTTCTTTAGTTTATGACCAGTTCTTGAAAACCAGAGTATACCTTGAACATGATCATACTAGCTAAGATGGTGAAAGTTGTGAACATAACGTAGTACACAGGAGATATAACCGCGGTGTTGAAATTATCTAGAGCCTGCACAGATGAATTACAAAGATGAAACAAACTAAGGAGGTTTGTTCTTGAATCTGACAAACAAAATTGATACCAAGATCTTGTTGTCATCACCTTGTTCAGGTAGTTGATTTGCAAAATGCAACATATGGTCACTACTATGATGAAGATCCATGCGTGGAAGTACTTAAACTGGTTCATCCCGGAAAAAGTCAGCTTTATAGCAATTGCCACAGCTTTGACACTCATAACCTAACACGAAACAGAGACAAAGACACTTACTTATATGCAAAGAGAGATATTACTAAGAGATGGCTCAAATAAAAAAAAAAAACATACAGTGAGAGATCCCATTAAGGAGCAAATCCCAACATATACTATCATATGCGTCTTCCCATAACGGGGTTCGTAGTAGAAGATCAGTGCAAGCACCACAACCAAAACCACAGCAGAGTAAGCAAGGAAGCCTGATTCAGAGCATGTTTCAGTCAAATTAGAATCTAGCTATGTCTTTTGACAAAACAAAGAGACCTTTTATAGTTCTATACCTGGTTCAGTAGCCAGATGCCATATGTGCTTGACTGATTCAATGTCTTGCTCGTGAGGAGCATGCAAAACAATCGTTGTAGATCCAACAACACAGAGGACGCAGCCAAGTATACCGAACATATGCAACTTCTCTTCCAAGATAAAATGTGCAAGCACTGCGCTGCATAACAGGGTTTCTGTTTTCAGGAAACTAAGGTTGTTCTTAAGAAAGATACAATGGGAGAGAGATAAGGCATAGTGGATACAGATACCTGAAAATAATACTTAGAGCTCCCAAAGGTGTCACTAGAATAGCAGGTGCAAATGCATAAGCTGCAAAATTGGCTATCTCCCCAACAATCACTGTAAGAAAGAGGGAACACAATCTTATTAAGTATCACAACCAAACAATTCAACAGAATCTACTCTTTGCTTGTTTCTATCTTCTTGTTTCCAAGTAGGAGCTTAACAATTGATTTTGGAGATGGTTTCATATTAATCTAATGATTGTTACTCGTCCAAGCTATCAGATTACTGTCCCAAAACAAAACCAGGATCCTTGGAAACCAAACCATAAGTCTTCCATGAACTATTCGACAAAGTGCTAAAAACAATATCTTGGTTAGAGGGAGATAGATTCATGGCAATAAGATGCAAAAACATGCCGAGGCAAACAAAAACTCAGCTTCTATCAGCATCAATTATGTGCCTTCTGATTTGAAAAACTGCCAAATTCATAACCATGTAAACGTCTCTAGCTATATAGCAAAAAGGTTAAGCCTTTACAGCATAATTTCTCAAAACCATTACAGAGGAGATTGATCAAAAACTTACTTGTTATCATTCCAGCCCACCACCAAGGTTCATATAAGTATCCATACCCTCCTTCACCTGATCACACAGGAACGAAGCAGTACAAAGCAAAATCAGTCAAACAAGAAGTGATTTTGAAGAGCAAGAGTATATAAGTAACAGCTCAATGAATCAGAACCTAACCTGCTCTAGCTCCGCTTACACCAGCCTTCTTGAGACCTTTTTTCTTGATGATGAAGCTTGAACCGATGAATATACTCGAAGACACAGCTAAAATGACTCCATGTATATTATCTGGTGACATCTCCTCCATCTTGATAAAATTTTATAGTTTCCTTATATACAAATTAAGTTAATTTCAGGTTTGTTAATAACGAAGGTTCCACTCTTAGATAGCTTATTGAGTCTACAAAAAAAAAACACAAAGAAATAAGAATCAGCGTAAATCCACTCAAAATAAACAATGTTTATAAATTATAATCAAGAATCAACATAAGACCCCACACATTCCAGAACGATTATTGATTAATTTTAGCGATTTCCTTCACCAATCGTGTGATTCTGAATTTTTAAAAGTCTGAGTTTTAAAAAGTTCCCTGTGGCAGAAAAATCGAGAACCAGACAAATGGCAACAAGTAGAATACATACAGAGAGACAAAACCAAGATATTGAAAGCAAGGAAAGAGACAAAATCGTCACAAAAATCAAACGATGCCTTAAGAAACAGAGAATCTAATGATCTTACAATTGTTCACGAATTGTTTGTGATTTTGCCCAAAAAGATTCACGAATGTGAGAAAAAAAACGATCTTTACCCACAAAATAGCTTTTATACGTTACCTTACCCACATTAAACTAATATTTCTCGTCGGGATTCATAAGATATTCCCCAGTAATTGAAAACTACAAGTAAAGTTAAGAACACGAAGACAAAAGGACTTTAATCAAAAAAAATCCTCGAAAATTACACGAGTCATACGCGATTTCAACCATTCCAACAACAATTAATTATGTGGGAAATTGAATTTTTTTTTGTAAAAAGAGAGGGTGAGAAAACGACGCCAAGGAAAAGAAAATAAAATATCTGGAGCTAGAAGTAGCAATGGAATATTTGGAATCGTTGTATCTAACCTTTTTCATTTCTTCCATTTTCGTGCACCAAAACAAAAAATAAACAACAATGTGGAAGAAGAAGAACAATACGAGTCTCAGACGTAAATGGTGATGAAAGGTATTGTGAAAAATTAGGGTTCTTAATTGTGATTGCTGGAACTGAATCTGAAGAAAAAAAAAACGAAAGCAAAAAGAAGAGACAGAGAGAGAAAGAGAGAGAGAGAGAGAGAGAGAGAGAGAGAGAGAGAGAGAGAGAGAGAGAGAGAGAGAGATGTAACGAAAATTTGGGGAACTTTGAAACAAACCATAGTCACAATACAACTCGAAAACGTTATAGTTTACAACTTTTAAAATTAGGCCCTTCGATTCAACTTTTATTAGATTTTTGGCTCAAAAACTTATATATTATCCTCTCTTTGATTCTCTACTTAATTAAATAATTCAAGGACGAACAGAATTCTTCACAACAATTTATAGTATAATCTTGTTTCTCCATTCCATAAAATTTGCATAACAAATTCATTACAACACTAAAATATTAATGGAGATGATTGTTACATATATGTAGATACCATCAAACAACCGATGCTTTGATTGATTTAAGTAAAAAAGTGAAAGATCCTCATGAACCATTCATGTTTATATGAAACCAGTATATGGCCGGTGGTGAGTCCACAGAACACACCAGGAACGTAGCCTACTGCAGCTGCAATCCAGCTGAATACTTCATCTTCGTCTTTCTCTTCTTCATCTTGCTCTTGCTTTGTTGCTTCTTCTTTTTCGCCGCAGGTTTCTTGGAGAGGAGCACCGCAAAGCCCGGGATTCTCTGCGAAAGAAGAAATATTCTGGCTTTGAATCTGAGTACCTTGCGGTATTGGACCTTCAAGCTTGTTGTGAGAGAAGTTCATCCACGCTAGAAATGTGAGTTTCCCGAGCGCAGGTGGGATTTCATTGGATAATATGTTTTGAGATAGATCTAGTGATTGGAGATTGGTCAAATTCGACAGAGAATGTGGAATACGACCTGTGAAAGCATTGTTTGACATGTCAAGCACAATCAGATCCTTGAGTAAACCAATGGATTCGGGAATATCTCCTTGGAATCGGTTCCCAGAGACATCGATGGTTTTGTAATGGTGAAGTCACTCCCGATCAACTCCATCTTCAGTCCTTTGTTTGTTAAAGCCACCGACTTATGATATAATCCATAGCCATGTATTGCATACCAACTCATCATGTTATCTACAATGTGTAGTGACATTGCATTCCAACCAGCAAAGTAATCTGATGGCAATACTCCAGTGAAGATTTTTTTCGAAATGTCAAAGATTCGCAGCTTGAGGAATTTCAAAGAAACTTCAGGAGAAGATATTGGGCCATAGAACTCATTGGAACGAATGACAAAAATCTGTATATTTGGCAACAATCTCAACCAGAATGGGAATGTATCACTGATTACATTGTCTTCCACATTCAGAAACTCGAGACGTGTGCAGTTGATCAAAGACTTGGGAAGTTTTCCTGATAACCGGTTGGGACCAATATCAAGTGATATCAATTTATCACTGATAAATTTCTCAGGAAAAACACCAGAAAGGCTGTTATTCTCGAGATGCAATACCCTAAGATTGGTACCGAAATTCTCAAAACACTGAGGAATAGAACCGCTAAAGTTGTTGGATGATAAAACAAGTGTATCAAGAGCAACCAGTTTGCATATTTCCCTAGAAATCTCTCCCGAAAACCGATTATCAGAGGCTAAAAGGAACATTGTAGAGTTTGGTAACAAAGGAAATGGATCCTGGAAAGTGTTTAAACTTATATCAAGTGTTTCAACCTTTTCGCTTCTTTGAATAACATCAGCTGGTCCTTCAAAACAAGCGAAAAAATTATTAGAAATGTTTACAAACTCCAACTTTGGCAGTCTCCATAACCACTCTGGTACTTTGTCTTCAATCTGATTGGCAGAAATGTCTAGATAAACCAGTTTGGTTTGGGTTTGAAGAAACTTGGGAAACTCAGAAATATTGCAGAGTATGATAAAGCCAAGCTATATATGGGTGAGGGAAAATGGAGAGTATAGCTGATCTTCAAATTGATCCCTGAAAGATACAGAGTGGTAAGTGACATACGACTTGAGAAAAAACTCAAGTCAACCATGCTCTTGTATTCAGATAGGAGATGTCAAGTGACTTAAGTGATTTGAGATGCAGGAAGATGCTGAAATCGACTATGCCTCTCTCCGTGTTCCAGAAAGAGAGGTCAAGTTCCACAAGACCAACTAGATTCGATATAGATTTTGAGATTGGCCAATTGAAATTGTTTTCTCCAAGGGATAAAATTGAAAGTTTAGATGGTAAAGAGATATTCCCAATCTCAAAAGGACCGCTGAAGTGGTTTCTTCCCAAATCAAGGGAGATCAACGAAGGGATCATAAAGAGAGATGGTGGAATTGATCCAGAAAATGAATTTCCAGTGATATCAAAAGTCTCCAGTTTGGAGAGGCTGCTCATGTTAGATGGGAGCATACCTTTGAACTGATTAGAACGAAGGTCAATCACAATGAGCTCGCTCATATTGAGCAGCACGTGAGGAAAGTTCCCACTGAGCTTGTTCAATACAAGCTGCAAATCTTTTAGTCGGTTTAGGTTGCCCATCGAATCTGGTAGTTCACTGGTGAAATCATTACCAGAAAGATCGAGATCAGTGAGATAAGAAAAATTTCCAAGTGAAGAAGGAATATTTCCAAAAAGATTGCAAGCACCAAGACTCAAAACCCTCAAATATTTTAGGTTGCTAATGGAATATGGTAGAATACCCGAAAGATTATTTGCACTAAGATCTAGGCTCTGAAGATGTAATAGTCTAAATAGACTACTATTAGATCTCAAAGGGCCATTGAGAATGTTGGTTTTATGCTCTTGTATCAATTTAGAAGCCATTGCTTCTTGTACAAGACATAACTATTTGATAAAGAAAAGTAAAATAGAATTTGGAAGAGAAAAGAGAACAGAGCATAGAATCTGGAAAACTTCTCTTTATCTGGACAATCTTACATTTACACATCACTAATACTTATATAGTGATCTTACATAAACGAACACAACTGTTCATAATGATACATAACTGTTCGTAACTTTATATGTACCCTTTCGTTAAGTTACGACTAATATACCTCTCTTTATTTTACATAACGCTAGCTTATATAATTAATATATAAGCAAACTCAATTATAAACTAACACTCCCCCTTAATTGAGTTTCGCTCTAACTCCAAACTGTTTAATTTGTTCTTCAGGCTTTGTGAAACTAACACCAAACGCCTCTTTCAAACTCTAACTTCCTAACTTCATTGAAGTTATTTCTGTAACTGAGTGTCCTCACCTCTTCTGAGTGAACCTTCTTTTTCTTCAATTAGTCATGTCTTCTTGACATCTCTTTCTTAGACTATGTGTTTTCTTTGGTGACTTCTTTTGATCACCATCACGTCACGTCCCTGTGACATTTCATGCATAGGTCACCTGCACGTCTTCTTCTGTTATCTCTATAACAGGTTCTCTGATGTGCGTGAATTTTCTCCACGTCTTCTTCGGTTATGTGTAACCGGTTCCCTTCTTGAGTGCGTGAATCTTCTTCTCCACGACTTTACTGTTATTTCTGTAACCATTCTCTTCGCTCCATTTTTCTTATAGGTAAGCATCCTATTTTATTGCTTGGTGCCATCTTTTGAACACCATTACGTCTCCTTGACGTCTCGTTTGTGAATCTCTTTCACATTTTCCTCGGCTATCTCCGTGACCATTTTCTTTGCTCCATTTGCGAAACACTTAACAGATTCCTTGCTAAGTCCGGCACTAGTAACACCTCTTTGATGATCTTCTCTCCTTCGCTAGTCATCACTTGGATATTCCCTTTCCCTGCCGTGATTACTCTTTGACCATTCCCCACTTTGATTGGTATTTTGATACTCTTATCAAGAGTGATGAAGTATAATACTTCCTTGGTCATGTGGTTAGTACATCCGCTGTCAACTAACCATGTTTCATCATCTACTTTTGATGATGTTTCTTCTTCCACTGCACTAAACAGCATGTGACCTTCATCTTCTGAGTCATCTTCTGTTTCTTCAATACTTAGATCCGCACTCTCGGTTTTTCTAAGTTTGCAGTTCTTTTTGCTGAGTAGCCTTTCTCTGTTGTTTTTTTTCAACAAGCGGCTTCCTCCTATATGAACGTCTTTCATGTGTTTTATTCTGTGAAGAAATACGATCTTCATGTGCATGAATGAATCTTATCAACTCTGCCACCCATAGTGTAGTCTTAATTCCTTCATTGAAGCCTTCTTCCATTGACTTTTCAATTGCACCCCTTCGGGTGTCTCTTTTGGTTGTGTCGATCGGTTCGGAACTCTTCCACCACCACACACAACTCCAGCTTCCCTCACGTCTCCTGCGTGAAACCTTCTTCCTATAGTTGCGGAATTATTGCTTCTCTTTGTGCTTTAGTTGGCCCTTGAATCATAAGAGCTCTGATACCATGTTGGTTTTATGCTCTTGTATCAATTTAGAAGCCATTGCTTCTTGTACAAGACATAACTATTTGATAAAGAAAAGTAAAATAGAATTTGGAAGAGAAAAGAGAACAGAGCATAGAATCTGGAAAACTCTTTATCTGGACAATCTTACATTTACACATCACTAATACTTATATAGTGATCTTACATAAATGAATACAACTGTTCATAATGATACATAACTGTTCGTAACTTTATATGTACCCTTTCGTTAAGTTACGACTAATATACCTCTCTTTATTTTACATAACGCTAGCTTATATAATTAATATATAAGCAAACTCAATTATAAACTAACACAACCTACCACGAGGTCTAACTCAATGACCTTGCCTGTCTTAGGATCACAAGAGGTACCATCCCAAGAACAACAATCAGTGTTGTTTCTCCAGCTCTTTGTCTTCTTATCCACAGGTGTTGGATGGTTCTGAAATTCTTCGACATAGAACTCGTTCTTGAAATCCCAAAGAGCATCCCTCTGGTCTGGACGACACAAGTGCTTAGCAGGAGATGCCGAAACAAGTATTGAGTTAGAAAGAGAAAAGATAAGACACAGACTCCATATTATCATTTTCTTCTCACTACAAGAATGCATCATGTTTTTTCTTCTGTAAAACCAGAGATGTTGGTGACTCTCGATCATTCGATTATCTCTTAAATTCTGGAGGAAACTAAAAACTTGACTTAACAAGTCTCATTAAGTCTAATTGCGTAGCCAGATGAGATATTTCCACAACGATATTTAATTTCCATGTGAATGCTCCATTAAGTCAAATCTCCTCTTGGAAAAACTAACCTTGAGAAATTTAACATTCAACAGTAATCTTACAAATCATCCAAATCCATGTAGTAGCAATTAATTCCAGCCGTGTGGGTCAATCGCTGAAACGCTCTGCAGCCTGACGATTCCTTTTACTATTTAAAACCGCAACTGCAATTTCTCAGCCGTGTGGTGTGGGTTAATCGCGTTAGAAACTATGCAGCTTGAAGATTTCTTTGATTTTTCAAAGCCGCAAACACATTTTTCCTTGAGATGAACATATCTTACCAAAATTTGATCAATTGTGCCCCTTAAAGTTACCAGGTTATTCGATTAATGCCTCAAAACTTTGTTTTATGAGAAACTAAACTCTGTTCCTTAAGTAGAAAAACAAAACTCTTACATTTACTACTCAAGTCCCAACCAATTAAACCTGGTAATTTACAGAAACCAGAGAGCTCTTGTTATTAGCACTTTCAATACAAATTTCTTTTGAAGAAGCTTATCTCAATTGTTGCTGTTGAGAGTCACCAGTCATTCGATCGTTTGTGTTTTGGGCCTCTCCACTAGTATTGTCCAAAAACATAAATAATCGCCATGATTTCGGAACGGCACATTCTAGTTTTGACACCAAGAAAAGGAAGTAACCATTACATAGATTTATGATGATGATGAATTTGAAGATTCATTTAGAGAAACTTAGATGCAACACTGTGAAAACTTACCCTTAGATAATACACATATCCACCGCTGTTACCAAATTTTATCATCCTTTATCTTAACGAAAGAAATATTTGCGTCTGTTTAATGATTCTACGTTATTTGAAAAAAAAAAAAAAACTCTATTTGTAATAATTATTATATACACTTTTATTTTTTCACTAGACTTTGCAAAACATATTCTTTACAACATCGAAATACTTTTAATATAAAAAAAAAGACATGGAGAGTATAACATTATATTAGATGTCATCAGGCAGCTGATGCTTTTGTTGAGAAACAAATGTTGAGAAAGTTGTTATAAAAGTTTATTGTTTTTATTATTGCAAGGAGACACGGTCACACGGGACACCATCCATATAAGAAGTGACGTTAAGTGACGTTAAATTAAGTAAAAAAAGCTAAAGATCTTCATGAACCAAGAATGTTTATATGAAATCAGAATGTGGCCGATGGTGAGTCCACAGAACACACCAGGTACATAGCCTATTGCAGCTGAAATCCAGCTAATTGCTTGATCATTTTCTTCATCTTGCTCTTGCTTTGCTGCTGCCTCTTCTTCTTCCTGTTCTTCTTCTTCTTTTCCGCAGGATTTCTTAAGAGGAATACCGCAGAGCCCAGGATTCTCAGCAAAGGAAGAAATACTTTGGCTTTGAATTTGAGTACCTTGTGGTATTGAACCTTCAAGCTTGTTACACGAGAAGTTCATCCACGCAAGAAACGTGAGTTTCCCGAGCTCTGGTGGGATTTCGCCAGATAATCTGTTTTGAGATAGATCCAATGATTGAAGACTGCTCAAGTTCGCCAGAGAAGGCGGAACTTGGCCTGTGAAAGCATTGTTTGACAAGTTGAGTACAGTTAGTTCCTTGAGAAAACTGATTGATTTGGGAATACTTCCTTCGAATCTGTTCCTGGAGACATCAATGTTTTTGTAGATTGTGAAGCCACTCCCAACCAACTCCATCTTGAGTCCTTTGGCCGTCATAGATACAGAGTTTCGATAGTTTCCAGAGTCACGTCCCTCAAACCTACTCGGCATTTTATCTACAATGGCTAAGACCGATGACATTGCACCCCAATCCGCAAAGTAATCTGATGGCAAGACTCCAGTGAAGCGGTTTTCTGAAATGTCAAAGATTCGCAGCTTGGGAAAACTCAAAGAATCTCTTGGAGAAGATATTAGCCCATGGAACTCGTTAGAACGAAGGACAAGAATCTGTAGATTGGGCAACACTCTCAACCAAGATGGGAATATGTCTCTGATTCTGTTGTTTTCCACGTTCAGAAATTCGAGTTGAGTGCAATTGATCAAAGACTTAGGAAGCCTTCCTGATAAGTAGTTGCCACCAACATCAAGTGATTTTAAGTGATCACTGATAGATTCCTCAGGAAAAACACCAGAGAGGCTGTTATTCCGAAGATGCAAAACCAAAAGAGTAGTATTGAAATTCTCAAAACACAGAGGAATAGAACCGCTGAAGTTGTTGTGAGATAAGACAAGCGTCTCAAGAGAAGCCATTTTGCATATTGTAGTAGGAATCTTTCCCGAAAACAGATTATTGGAGCCTAGAAAGAACTTTGTAGAGTTTGGTAACAAAGGAAATGGATCATGGAATGTGTTTGAACTTATATCAAGCAGATTTTTTTCACTTCTTTGAATAACATCCACTGATCCTTCGAAGTCGCTGAAATAATTCTGAGAAATGTTTACATACCGTAACACTGGCAGACTCCACAACCACTCCGGTACTTGGCCCTTAATTTGATTGGCTGAAATATCTAAATAAGACAAACTGGTTTTGGCTTTTAGAAATTTGGGAAACTCAACAATATTGCAGGATGATAAAGTCAAGATTTCTATGGGTGAGAGAAGATGGAGAGTTGGACTGATCTTCAAACCGATCCCTGAAAGATCTAGATAACCAAGTGACATGAAATTTGAGAGAAGACTCAAGTCAGCCATGCTTCTAGTATTAATGTAAGAGAGGTCAAGGAACGTAAGTGACTTGAGATGCAAAAAAATGCTGAAATCGACCATTCTCCTCTCTGTGTTCCATAAAGCAAGGTCAAGATACATGAGCCCAACTAGTTTTGATATCGATGCTGGGATTGGCCCATTGAATTTGTTTTCTACAAGAGATAAAACTCCAAGTGTAGATGGTGAAGAGATATTCCCAATGTCAAAAGTACCACTGAAGTCGTTATATCCCAAGAGAAGATTAAATAATGAAGGGATCATGAAGAGAGAAGACGGAATAGATCCAGAAAATGAATTTCCACTTATATCAAATTGCACCAGTTTAGAGAGGCTACTCATGTTAGATGGGAGCATACCTTCGAACTCGTTAGAAGCAAGGTTGATCAAGGTGAGCTCGCTCAAATTGAGTAGCACATTAGGAAATTTTCCACTGAGCTTGGTCGACTTAAGATCCAACTCTGTTAGCTTGATTAGGCTTCCCATTGAATATGGTAGCTCACCGGTGAAACCATTAACAGAAAGATCAAGATTAGTGAGATAAGAAAGATTTCCAAGTGAAGAAGGAATCTTCCCAATGAAGTTGCAACGACCAAGACTTAAAACCTTCAGATATTTGAGATTGCCGATGGAATCTGGTAGAATACCCGAGAGATTGTTGTTGCCAAGATTCAAGCTCTGGAGATGTTGTAGTCTGAACAGACTACTGTTATATCTTAAAGGGCCATTGAGAAAACTGTCCTCGAGGTCTAGCTCAACCACCAAGCCCTTTTTAGGATTGCAAGAGATACCATCCCAAGAACAACAATCAGTGTTGTTTCTCCAACTCTTTGTCTTCTTATCAACCGGCGTCCCATCAGAATGGAACCCTTCGACATAGAACTCGTTCTTGAACTCCCAAAGAGTATCTCTCTGGTTTGGACGACACAAGTGCTTAGCATGAGAAGCAAACACAAGTATTGAATTAGAAAGATAGAAGATTAAACACAAGCTCCATATCATTCTCTTTCTTTGAGTACAAGAATGCATCATATTTTTTGGTTCTTTCTTTCTTTGTTTTTTTTCTTCTGTGAAACGAGTGATGTTGATCATTAGCTTGCCTCTCACATTTATAGAAAAAGTTAAACCTTTACATTTCCACAATTAAATATTACTAAATTCCAATTTGAATGCTCCACTAAGTAGTGTCCACTTGGAAAAAGTAACATTAAGAAAAAGTTACGAAATTTCCCAAACGATATGCGTAGCCTGATGATTTTCTTCGTCTTTACGTCACTATTTCGTAATCGAGTTCTTTATTGGGTGGCAAGAGAGTCGGAGTGCAAGTGACGATGGAGCTTTTAAACTATTGTTGACTTAGCAAGGTCACATTTATTGACTTAACAAGTCTCTTGTGAAGAAGACTAAATGTGCAGAGCAAGATGAGACATTTCCATATGAATGGTCGACCACTAATAAGTAGTTTCCACTGAGAAAAAGTAACAATAATAAATCCAGTTTTCATTAAAGTTCTTATTCAGTCACTTTGTGAAACCTCTACATCAATAACAAGTTTGTAATTCCCTTGAATCGACCAAAAAAATCAACAGTTCTTGTTTTTTTTGGTTTTTCTTTCTTTGTGAGGACTTCACTACTTTATTTTCACAAAATGGGTCTCGGCTTCTGCTTTAATTCTTCTAATTCATGTATAAAAACTGGACTGAATTATTACGACTCTGACTAATGTTTTACTTGGGAGACAAAAAAACTAGAGTAGGTAGTAAAAACGGGGAAGTGTTAAGGTTTTTACTTAATTGGTACTCCATAATTTAAAGTGAATTTTTTTTTTCACACCGTTTAGGTGTTTACAGCTCAACACCTGTTAGTAACGCCAAATTCCGTTGTCACTAGTTTGCCCAAGAGACTCTGTATTACTATGTTAATATTTCTAATACATTTAAATTTGATCTGTTTATATATTTTGATTTTGTCGATGTTATTTAGTGACTGATAGGAAATGCTAAAAAACTTATTTGTGTCCAATGTCTGTATAATTTTATTCCATGCACTTTACTGATTCGTACATCTCTTTTTTTTTTTTCTCTTCTACTCGCTGCATATTTTCAAAAACTCCAGCAACGCGAAGAAGAGAAGTTTATTGTGCTTTCAGCCTCGCTCTGTATCTCAATTCAATATATGTAGATATCACTAATTGCAAATTTGCGGATATAAAGGCATAGAAAAATGTTGGAGTCTGAAAATAATATTGATATGATTTTAAACAACTATTGAGAAAGTTATAACAAAATTTTATTGACCTTATAATTACAATGGGGACACTATCAACGTAAGAACTGATGCTTACAATAAGTAGATGGCATCAAGCAACTCGTTCTTAACTAAGTAGAAGAGTGAAAGATCCTCATGAACCACAGAACCAGTCACGCTTATATGAAGTGAAAATGTGACCGATGATGAGTCCACACAAAACACCAGGCGCACAGCCTATTGCGGCAGCTTTCCAATTCAATATTTGATCTTTCTCTTCCATTTCCTCATCTTCTTGTTGTTTTGTTGCTTCTTCTTCTCCGCTGCAGATTTCTTGAAGAGGAACACCGCAAAGCCCATGATTCTCTGCAAAAGATGCGCTATTTGAATCTGAGTCCCTTGTGGTATAGGACCTACAAGCATGTTGTAAAAGAAGTTCATCCGCGCTAGAAACGTGAGTTTCCCCAGCTCTGGCGGGGATATTCTGTTTTGAGATAGATCCAATGATTGAAGATTGGTCAAGTTCGCTAGAGATGGTGGAATATATCCGGTGAAGGCGTTGGTTGACATGTTGAACACAATCAATTCCCTGAGAAAACCGATGGATTCAGGGATGTCTCCCCACAAGCTCCATCTTCAATCCTTTGTTCGTTAGATCCACAAAATTATGATGGTATCCTGTATTGAGAGCATATAGAACTAGATAAGGAAAGGATCTTATTGTACATTTCTATAACCTAAACTCTCCTCTATATCTATATATATATATATGTATCAAACGAGTATAATAAGATATAACTTTCAGCATCTATATGGTATTAGAGCTGTACGATTCTTAAACCTAAAAATCTTCCATCTTTTTCATTCTTTTTTGGCTGCCACCATGTCTCTACCAACTGCATCTGAAAACACAGAAACCGAAACCATTCCCCTAAACACTACCAACCTACTGCAAGTCAACATGACACATGTCTCTAAACTCACAACTACCAACTACCTGATGTGGAGTCTTCAAGTCCACGCTTTACTTGATGGTTATGCTCTCACTAACCATCTTGATGAATCTCTTGCAGTACCACCTACAACGCTGACACCTACTGGTTCCCTCGCACTAACCCCTTGTACATGATGTGGAAACGCCAAGATCAACTGATCTACAGCGCTCTTCTTGGAGCGATTTCACCCTCCCTCCAGCCACTGGTCTCTCGTGCGACGGCCACTTCACAAATCTGGTCAACGCTTGCATCGACATATGCAAAACCAAGTCGCGGTCACATTAAACAGCTAAAGACACAGCTCAAAAATTGGACCAAAGGAACCAAGACGATTGATGAATACTTACAAGGTCTGACAACAAGACTGGATCAACTTGCTATCATAGGGAAACCGATGGATCATGAAGATCAAATTGAACTTGTTCTCGAAGGCTTACCAGAGGAATACAAGTCGATTGTTGATCAAATCGAAGGAAAAGACACTCCCCCTACCATTCTGGAGGTCCATGAACGCCTCCTCAACCATGAAGCCAAACTCATGTCGACTGCAGCTGCTTCTTCCTCTATTATTCCTCCCTCGGCTAACGCTGCACAATTCAAACAGAACAATGGTTACTACAACAATCGTCACAGAAACAACTACAAACGGAACAACAACTATCAACCCCAAAAATTCAACAACAGATCAGACACACGATCTCCAAGACCCTACCTTAGCAAATGTCAAATGTGTCACACTCAGGGTCACAATGCTAGAAAATGTCCCCAGCTCGCGGCGATGCAGCCCTTGGTGAACCAAATTCCACAGTTCACACACTGGCAGCCACGAGTAAACCTTGCCGCAGGACCACAATACTCAACCAACAACTGGCTCCTTGATAGTGGGGCGACACATCACATCACCTCGGACTTAAACAACCTCTCCCTTCACCAACCTTACAACAGCGGAGATGAGGTTATGATTGCTGATGGATCGAATCTAGCAATCACTCACACGGGTTCAACTCTTTTTCCCTCTACTAGTCGTGATCTCTTGCTAAATAAAATTCTATATGTCCCTCATATCAACAAGAACTTGATCTCCGTATATCGCTTGTGCAACGCTAATCAAGTATCTGTTGAATTCTTCCCTGCTTCATTCCAGATGAAGGATCTGAGCACGGGTGTCCCATTACTCCAAGGCCGAACTAAGAATCAGTTGTATGAGTGGCCGGCTTCATCACCAACGGTTGCGATGTTTGCTTCACCGGAACAAAAGTCTCAGCTTCGATGTGGCATTCACGGTTGGGTCACCCATCTTCCTCTATCTTAAACTCTGCTGTCAACAAGTTTTCTTTACCCATTTCTACTTCTCCTCATAAACTATTGTCTTGTTCGAATTGTCTAATCAATAAAAGCCACCAACTTCCTTTTGCGCAATCCACTATCGTCTCAGATAAACTTCTCCAATACATTTATATAGACGTCTGGTCTTCACCAATCCTTTCTACTGATAATTTCAAATACTACCTAGTTCTTGTTGACCACTACAGCAGATATACCTGGATTTACCTTTTAAAACGCAAGTCTGATGTCAAAGATGTCTTCATAGCGTTCAAGAGCCTTGTAGAAAACCGCTTTCAACATCGGATTGGGACACTGTACTCGGACAATGGTGGGAAGTTTATCGCGTTGCAGGAATTTCTTGCTTCAACCAGTATCTGCCATCTCACATCACCACCACACACACCTCAGCATAACGGACTATCAGAACGCAAACACCGCCACATAGTAGAGACAGGACTCACGCTTCTTTCCACAGCGTCGGTCCCGAAGACTTATTGGCCGTTTGCATTCTCCACGGTGGTATACCTAATCAACCGCCTACCCACACCGGTTCTCTCTCTCGACTCGCCGTTCCAGAGACTATTCAGAGTAACTCCTAACTATGCTAAACTTCGAGTTTTTGGATCTCTGTGCTTCTCCTGCATCAGACCCTACACGCGACACAAACTTGAGGATCGATATGTACCTTGCGCATTTATGGGATACTCCTTAACCCAAAGCGCTTACTACTGTCTCCATCTGCCAACTAACCGGATGTATACATCACGACATGTTCAATTCGTTGAACATAGCTTTCCCTTCTCCGTACAAAAGCGGCTGACCCAATCAGAATCATCAGAGGAGCACGCAAGCACAACGCCAAACTTCCTGCCGGCCACCGTCGTCACACCCCCGTGCTCAGATTCTCACCGTTGCCGTACACATCAATCGTCGTCAGCACCGCTCCACAGTTCTCAGGTATTGCCATCTCTCTCTATACAACAACTCCACGAGTCCACTGCTCACATTGAAAATAGGCCGCAACCCACGGCCCAGATAAATCCATCTTCCAATGAGCCCACTGCTCAACCTCAAAATGGGCTGTCACCCCCAGCCCAGAATTATCAACCAAACCCACAACTCCCAAATCAAACCCAAACACCTCCACTCCCACCCCGACCAATAATCACATACCACCGTCGCCGAACCAAAACTCGCCGGAATCCCTTAGCCCCTCGACCACCAAACATCCACAAAATGAGAACTAGAGCCAAAGATAACATCACAAAGCCAATATCCAGACTGACACTCACAGCTTCCAAAACCAAATCACCCCATCGAGAGCCCTTAACTGTGTCTCAAGCCTTGCAGGATGAACTATGGAGGAAAGCAATGTCTGGCGAATATGATGCTCAAATTGGCAACTACTCGTGGGATCTTGTTCTGGCGGCACCTCACCAAAATGTCATCAGATGCAAATGGGTATTCACCCTTAAATATCACCCAGACGGCAATATTGAGCGTCACAAAGCGAGACTTATTGCCAAAGGGTTTCATCAGCGTTACGGCATTGACTACGG